CAGACCCACGTGTGTGCCCCAGACCCACACACAGACACACGTGTGTGCCCCAGACCCACACAGACACACGTGTGTGCCCCAGACCCACGCACAGACACACGTGTGTGCCCCAGACCCACGCACAGACACACGTGTGCCCCAGACCCATGCACAGACACACGTGTGCCCCAGACCCACGCACAGACACATGTGTGTGCCCCAGACCCACACACAGACACACGTGTGTGTGTGCCCCAGACCCACACAGACACATGTGTGTGCCCCAGACCCACGCACAGACACACGTGTGCACAGCCAGCAATGCCCAGGGAGCCTCCCGGGGGAATCGGGGGGTTGGGATGGAGCCGACAGGGACCAGGGAACAGCAGAGGACCCGGATGTTCCTGCAGGGCTGATTCCCACCCCACCGGTGCTTTTCTGACACGGAGGTGTGTGAGCAGAGCTGGGGGGAGGGCAGGAGCGGGTCCCAGGGGGCAGGGATGGATCCGTGGGCACGGGTGGGCACGGACAGAGCCGTGGGCACGGATGGATCCTCATGGGCATGGACGGATCTGTGCACGTGATGGATCCATACATGTGTGGATGGATCCATGTGCATGGATGTATCCTCATGGGCATGGATGGATCCACATGTGCATGGATGGATCCATGTGTATGGATGTATCCTCATGTGCATGGATGGATCCACATGTGCATGGATGGATCCATGTGCATGGATGGATCCACATGTGCATGGATGGATCCATGTGTATGGATGTATCCTCATGGGCATGGATGGATCCATGTGCATGGATGGATCCACATGTGCATGGATGGATCCATGTGTATGGATGTATCCTCATGGGCATGGATGGATCCATGTGTATGGATGGATCCACATGGGCATGGACAGATCTGTGTACGTGATGGATCCATATGTGCATGGATGGATCCATGTGCACGGATGTATCCACATGGGCATGGATGTATCCACGTGCATGGATGGACCCACGTGTGCATGGACAGATCCATGTGCTTGGATGGATCCACATGTGCACGAGCAGCGCATTTGCATGGATGAGCATGGACACCTGTGTGCACACGTGGGCCTGGACACACACGTGTGCATGGATGGATCCATTTGCATGGATGAGCATGGACACCTGTGTGCACACGTGGGCATGGACACACATGTGTGCATGGATGGATCCATTTGCATGGATATGCATGGACACCTGTGTGCACACACGTGTATGGATAGATCCACACAGACAGGGACAGTTCCATGTGCATGGATGGATCCACACAGGCCTGGACAGATCCGTGGGCATGGATGGATCCACACGTGCCCAGATGGTCCGTGTGTTTGTGCAGACCCATTTTCCCAGGTGTGTAGCAGGGATCCATGAGTGCATGGATGGATCCACGTGCAGGGAAGCCACACAGATCCCAGTGGGATGGATCCATGTGCAGGGAAGCACACACAGATCCCTGTGGGATGGATCCGTGTGCAGGGAAGCACAGACAGATCTCCATGGGCTGGATCCATGTACAGGGAAGCACAGACAGATCCCCGTGGGATGGATCCATGTACAGGGAAGCACAGACAGATCCCTGTGGGCTGGATCCATGTGCAGGGAAGCACAGACAGATCTCCATGGGCTGGATCCATGTGCAGGGAAGCACAGACAGATCCCTGTGGGATGGATCCATGTGCAGGGAAGCACACACAGATCCCAGCGGGATGGATCCACGTGCAGGGAAGCACACACAGATCACTGTGGGATGGATCCATGTGCAGGGAAGCACACACAGATCCCTGTGGGATGGATCCATGTACAGGGAAGCACAGACAGATCCCTGTGGGATGGATCCATGTGCAGGGAAGCACAGACAGATCTCCATGGAATGGATCCATGTGCAGGGAAGCACAGACAGATACCCAAGGGACCAGATCCAGGGCGGTGCAGCAGCAGCCCCATTCCCAACTCTGGGATTTTCCCCTTGGCTTCCTGTTTGTTTTGCAGGCACTGGAAGCAATCAGTGAGCACGAGGTGATCCAGTGCCGTGCCAAGGGCTCCTCACCCGCCCAGTGAGACAGAAAGCCAAGCTCTCCACAAACACAGCGGGGTCTGGCTGTGACAGGGGAGGTGGCAGTGGGGCCACTTGTGGGTGACAGCCACCACATCCGAGCTCTGAGCCAGCAGGATCTGCTCCCCGGGCCGGAAACGCTGCTGGGGCTGCAGGAGCTGCTGC